AGGGTAAACGTGGTGAAGAACTAAAGGAAGTGCATCCAGGGAGAGGCCCAGCAGGTCACTACAGAGAGAAGACCCCCCAATTCTGAGCGGGGAGGGCCCCCCAAGACCACAGAGATGACGCCTTGTGTCCCCCCCCAGCCCCCACTGAAGGCCCCTCTGGGTTCCTCCTGACCACCTGGCGTGGAGGGAGGAGGGAGGGAGACCTGCAAGAGTGTCTGAGCAATCTGCCCCCCGCCGGGAGGGTAATGGCACCCCACAGTTGCAGAGGAAGGGAGCCCCTCAGTCCAGGAGGGCATGACAGCTTTGAAGCTTTTTTTTTTCAGGCCTTGGAGGAAGGAAGTGGCAGGAGCAGATGGGGGTGCTGGGCCTTCCCGGGGAGAAGGTAATTGCCGCGGTAATTGGGGGAGAGCACAGACAGTGTCCACGCACTGATGGATGGACAGAGAGGAGGTGAGGACAACGGGAGCACCCCAGGGGCCATGGAAGCGGGAACCAGACAACGCCTGTCATAGTGGTGGGTAAGCAGAGGGCAGGCTGATGGTGGCCGTGCAGAGGGGACAAGGTGCTGAGCCGGTGACTTTTTCTTTTCTTTTTTGGCTTTTTGGGTCATGCCTGGTGATGCTCAGGGGTTCCTCCTGGCTCTGCACTCAGGAATCACTCCTGGCGGTGCTTGGGGGACCCTATGGGATGCTGGGGATCGAACCCAGGTTGGCCGCATGCATGGCAAACGCCCTCCCTGCTGTGCTATCACTCTAGCCCCTGAGCCAGTGACTCTTCTCCCCTCGCCCGCCACGTCCACACCCTTGAGCTTGAGCACCAAGGGCCACGGGGTCCTGGTGTCCACTTCCTCAGGCAATAGGACAAACTGGTCCTGTAACTCCTCACCTCCCTAATGCCTCTGGGGCTGGGGCGGGCAGGGCCCTTTGCTTCAGGGATGGGTAAGTGGCAGCCCACTGACGTGGGGATGCTGAGGAGGGGTCTTGAGGGTTTCTGGGAGGAAGGGATGATGGCGGGGTGCAGAGGGGGCCCGTGACCCTCCTCACTCCAGATTCAGAATGTCTCCCCTGGAGGTCAGAGGCCATGTTCTGTGGGCTATGCAGATGTGTAGAGAAATCAAGATGCTTAAAAGATTCATCAGAGACGCCTGCAGAGAGAGGGTGGATTGGGGGCTGATGGCCCTAGCTCCCCCTGGAGGGCCCCTGATCTCTGCTACCTCTCTCCATGAAAAGTGCTCTGAGGTAAACCCACTCGAGAGATTTCCCCTGACCCCCCACCCTCCCCCCGAGACCCCCCTGGATAGGCGGCAGCTGTCCCGGGAAGATTAGCAGAGGCGGGCAGATGCCTGGAAGTGTTGATCCTTGTTCTTAGCAAGATTGTTGGCTGAGGATAATAAATAAGGCCGGGGATGGAGAACGGGGCTCCCAGCAGGCGAGGCTGTGACCCTCCCCCCAGACCCCCCGGCTTTTCTCGCTTATGTCTGTCTGGTTTCCTGCCTCCCACCCCTGCCCACGTCTCCTCTGGGGAGGGGTCCGCTGGGTGGTGGGGAAGCTTCGGGGCTCAGCGGGCCAGGGGACACCGTTTACCCTGATCTTTTCTCTGCACCAGACTCAGCAGATAGGAACTTTGCTCACGAAGACAAACAATGTGTGTGTGTGTGTGTGTGTGCACGCACACACATGCATGCATGCTTATGTGTGTATAAGTGAGTGTGTGTGCTTGTATGAGTCTCTGTGCGAGTTCGTCTGCGTGTTTTGTGTGTGTGCGCTTGTGTATGTCCATGTGAATTTCTCTTTGTGCTTGTGTGAGTTCGTGTGTGCTTGTGTATGTGAGTGTCTGTATCTGTGTTTTTGTGTGTATGTACTTGTGTGTGTGCATGCTTGTGTGTGTGTATAAGTGTGTGCTTCTGTGTGTTTGTGTCTCTGTGTGAATTTGTGTGTGTGTTTTGTGTGTTCTTGTGTGTGTCTGTGTGTGCGCTTGTGTGAATATGTGTGAATTTGTGTGTGCACTTGTGTGTATGTTAGTGTGTGAATCTGTATTTGTGTGTCTGTGTACGTGCTTCTGTGTGTCTATGTCTCTGTGTGTGCACTTGTGTGTGTCTGTATGAATTTGTGTGTGTGTGCTTGTGTGTGCTTGTGTGTATGTATGTCTGTGTCAGTGTGTGCTTGTATCTGTGTCTGTGTGTGTTTACTTGTGTGTATCTGTGTCTGTGTATGTGCGCTTGTGTGTGTCTGTGTGTGTGCGCTTGTGTGTATGTGAGTGTGTCCGTGTGTTTGTGTCTGTGCTTGTGTGTATGTGTGTCTCAGTGTGTTTGTGTGCTTGTGTCTGTGTGTGTGCTTGTGTCTGTGTGTTTGTGTGTGGTTTTGTGTGTATTGCTTGTGTGCGTGCTTGTATGTCTGTGTGTTTGTGTGTGTTTTTGTGTGTATTGCTTGTGTGTGTGCTTGTATGTATGTGTGTCCATGCTTGTATGTATGTGTCTGTGTGTATGTGCATGTGTGTGTGTGTGTGCGCGCGCGCGCATGTGCCCTGCCTTGTGCCATCTCCATGCGCCATGGCCAGGTTGACCAGGTCTGAGACGCCTTGAGTGAGCCATGAAGCCCAGAGATAAGTCGCAGGCAGCTGCTGGATGGCGGGAAAGCAGGTCCCTGAGATGGCGGGGTCTCTCTTAGGTGGGGGGGGGCCTGTGTCCAGCCCCAGCAGGGTCTCTCCCCTACTGATGCGTCACCTATCACCTGCCCACCCTGCACCCGCTTCTCAACTACCAGATCACCGTGGAGAGCTTTGGGGAAAGGAGGAAAAACAAAAGGATCCAGAAGCTTATGGAACCACCCAGTCCCCCCACGTCCTGGGGAAAATAAAAAAAAAAAGTTCCTGCCAAGCTCAAATGTCTATAAATCTTCTGCCGATGTAAACGGCATGAGATCTAATTAAAAAATGTTTTTCGATTGATCATCATGTAACTCAGATAATGAGTAGCAGAGGATGGCAGCTAGAGGATGTATTTAAAGCCCAGAGTATAAATAGACCGCGCGAACTGACTGTTCATTTCAGAAGCGCACTCCGTCTCTCCGTGCCCGGGAACATCGCTCGGTGACGTGGGTCGTTAAAAGTCACCGAGACCTTTCCTCTCCCCTCCCCCACGGGGGTCTGAGGCCCTGCCTAGCTGCTGCTGGGGCTGGAGACCCCATCCCTGCCCAGCCTCTTCAGAACCATCCGCCTTTAGCTTCCGTAGCTGTTGGTTTCTTTCCATTTTTTTCCCCTTTAGATTTTAGATCATCCCCAGCAGTGCTCAGGGATCATTCCTATGGTGCTCAGGGGACCCTCTGGGATGCCAGGGATTGAACCAGAGTTGTCCGTGTGCCAGTCACATACCCTTCCTGCTGGATTATGGCACCAACCCTTGGGTTTTTGGGGCTTTTTAAAAATTTCATCTACAGTCGCTCTAGTTCTGTTACTTCTGATGGTTGTTTTCTCATTTCTGCTCCTGTACTTTCTTGTAGCTAAACCACTGTTGGTGTTTTGTTGTTGTTGTTGTGTTGGGGCCATACCTGGTGGTGCTCAGGGATCACTCCTGGTGGGTTTGGGGGACCACATAGGGTGCTGGGGATGGAATCCAGGTCGGCCACATGCAAGGCAAGCACCCTACCCACTGGGCCATCTCTCTGGCTCTGGAAATGCTCATTTCTGCAGCGTGGGGGTGTGTTCACCAAGGTGGGGTGGTGTTTATTGGGGTGCTTCCTCTCTGCATGCTTACAAAGCAAAGCAAATGCTCCTCCCTCTGCAGGGAGCGACTTAGGACTCTTGCTCCGAGGAGGGAGCACCCGTGAACCACAGCCGCAGATCCCCTCCCCGCCCCACCCCATCCCTGCCCCCAGCCTTCAGGGACAGAAACCTCTGAAGGCCCCAGGACTCTGCCTCAGCTGGCCAGGGATGGGCACAGCACTGCAATGGGGCCGGCACTGAACTGGGACCCCGGGATTAACCCAGAGTGTGCGCAGACACCCCTGAACGTCCTGCCCTTCACACAGCCAATGTCTGAGGGGACCTGAGAAGCCCCCGGGAAGGCCTGGGCAGCACCACGGGCCATAGGCACACACACACTCACATATACACTCACACACACATACTCATATACACACACACACTCACACACTCATATACACACACATACTCATCCACACTCACACTCATACTCATATAACACACATACACACACATACTCATATGTACACCATACACTCACACACACTCATATACACATACACACTCACACTCATGCACAAATTCACACTCATATATACATGCACACTCACATACACACACTTATATACACACTCACACTAATACACACTCATACACTCATATACACACTCACACATACTCGTGAACACAGATTCACCCACACATACACATTCACACACACAAACACACACTGACAAACATATACTCACATGCACACACAACACTCAATACTCACAACACTCACATATACAGTCTCACATACATATACATACACACATACATACACATACTCACATTCTCATACACACATTCTCATATACACACACTCACACTCTCTCATGCACATAAAATGTCACATACACACACATACACACTCTCACCTACATTCATAAACACATACACATTCACACACGCATACACACACTCATGCATATTTTCATAGATACACAGACATACTGGTATTCCAAATACTCACTCTCGCATATACCCTCTCATGCACACACCTTCACACTCACACAACTCACATATACAGACACATTCTCACAGTCACACACTCTCACATACACATACTCACACAAATACACACTTGGTCCCGCTCACACACAGAGCTGAGGGAGGGGGTGCCAGCTCGGGAGGTTGCGTGGTGAGCCAGCTCCGGGGTCACATGGCCGGCCGTCCCAAGTCTGGGCCATCGGCCTCGATGCCCCCGACACACCCCACTGCCCTTCCCTCTGTCCCACACTCGAGTCGTGTCCCCTTACCTAAAACCCGCAACCGCTCAGCGCCGACTACCACCTCATCGTCGTCAGCAGAGAAGAGCAACTTCCCAGACACGGTTTTCACTTCAAACTTTTGGCCATAAGCTTCCACAGCTTTGGGACCTGGGAGAGAGGGAGAGAGAGGGAGAGAGGACGTCACCTTCCTGCCTCTGAGGATAGCGCTCTGCCACAAAGCACACTCTGGCTCTGTGGCACTGACCTTTAAGGCCGGTGGCTGGTATTCGACCTTAAAGGTGACCATCGGGTCAGAGGCGGGTCCCTTCAGTAATAATGCTGGTGGTCAGGAGTTTATTTTTATCTACACCTGGCAGTGCTCAGGGCTGACTCCTGGCTCTGTGCTCAGGAAGACTCTGGGGTGCCGGGGATCGAACCCGGGTCAGCTGCGTACAAGGCAAGCAAGTGCCCGCCCCGCTGCCTATCACTTCAGCCCCTATATTGTTCTTAAAAACTTTTGTTTTGTTTGTTTGGGGTCACACCTGGTGTATGAGAGTCAGAGCTTCCTCCTGACTCGGCATTCAGGGATCACTCCCGGTGGGCTAGGAGGACCTTAAAGGGTGCTGGGGATCAAACCTGGGTTGGCGGTGTACAAGGCAAGTTTCCGCTGTACCATCACTCTGGCCCGAGGCCAGGGGATTTCAAGGGTTTCATGCATGTCCTGCCTGCAAACCAGGACTTAAGTAAGATGCCCCATGGGGAGCTATTGCATCACCAGGGCATGCTGGCTTGGGGATGAAAGGTCACAGCAAACCCAGCGGCCACTGCTGGCCGGTTTCCTCTGGCCAGTCCTAGGGACAGGCACAGGCTTCTCTAAGGGCAGCTGAGGCCCATGCCCTTGGCCCACTGACTGTGCTATTTCGGTTCTGTTCTGGCAGAGAAGGCTGTGGCTGAGTGTACCCAGCCCGGGCACCTGGTGACTCTTTCACATCAGAATTTCAGTCAGTTCAAACAAATCAGTGCCAAAGGTTTGCCACAGGAGAGCACCAGCTGAGTTCAAATCGGGTATGTGTGTGTGTGTGTGTGGGGGGGGTGTTTCAAGTGGTACCCCAACCTCAGACGAAGATGAATGATAGAAAAATCGATTCATCTGTGATGAATAAAGCAGAATACTGTGGTGTTTTAGGTTCTCTGGAAACAGATTTGTGATCCAGATTCCCAAAGCAGATACTTAAGTGAGTGTGAGAAGGATGCCCTGAGTGACGAGAGGGGACCACCCCCTCCCCCCAACACAGACACAGGGACACACAGAGAGACAGATACTCAGAGACACACAGGAACACACATAAAGACACACCCACAGACACACACCACAGACAAACACACACGCACACCAGGACACATACACCGTCACACACTGACACACACAGAGCAAAGCACATAGACACACACAAACACACATAGATACATAAACAGAGACACAAAGAGACACACACACAGACACAGATACACACACAGGAACACACATACATAGATATACACACACAGGGACACACAGGTAGAAAGAGACACACAGATACAGATATACACAGACATATACACAGATAGACACAAACAGACACAGAGACACACACATATATAGACACACACTGACACACACAGGGACACGTACAGAGACACACAGATACAGACACACACATACACACAGACATGCACACAGACACACACAGATACAGGCACAGACCCCAGCCAAACTGCTTTGCACTAACACATCGGAATGAGTTGGGGTACTGAGCATCTCAGGAAAGCTGCCTCCGCCTGAAACTGATGGGCCCCTTGGCAGGGCTCCATCCTGAAAAGTCTCGAGGGTCGAGTCCAGACTCGGGTCTCTTCCCCAGACTGCCCCGAGATCCGGGCTGGGGTTTCTTCTTTCCCAGGACGGTGAAATCAGGGAGCAATAGGGTCCTGGGTGCCTGCCTGGGACATACCTGGAGGTAAGAGGGGCGAGTCCCAAGAGCCGGGAGGGGGGACCCCCAGTTGGGCAGTGCAGGGAGGAGAAGGACAGAGCTTAGGGTCAACCACGGCACACGATCTGGGGCAGGGTTCATGGGAGTGAGGGTTTGTGGGGGACAGACACATCAGGTCAAGGAGGCGACTTCCTGACTGATCTCTGGGTCACCCTTATCTAGAAGCAACAGAAGCCACAGGGTGGAGACCACCATAGCAGAGGCCACAGGGCAGAGATCATGGGGTGGAGACCACCATAGCAGAGGCCACGGGGCAGAGACCAGCCCAGTAGAGACCACCAGGGCAGAGACCACCTTAGCACTGAAGTGCTGAGGGGCAGAGACCTGCCCCGGCCCCCGTGGTCTGGCTCATGCTCCTGCTTTCGTCTGTGCTGACGGGGTCCTCTGTCCTGCCTCCATTTGTCACAGCCACCAGGCGGCCTAGTCTGGGAGATGATTGGTGGCCAACAGATCCCCCAGGCTGGGCTGATCACACCACGCCACTCTCGACACTGCCACCTGCCGCCTGCCCCACTGCCTGAGGGAGGAGAATCAGGAGGCAAGAATGAAGTCTCAACCACGCACCGGAAGCAACAGCTGGGGCAAATCCTGCATCTTCCTGAACCTCAGGTGACGGCCCTGTGATCTTGTACTAACCCCCTCAGTCTGTCTGCCACCCAGGAGGGTTACAAGCATCCGAGTGCACTAGTCGAGGGCTGGATAAATAGCACAGTGGGTAGAGTGTGTGTCTTGCATGCAGCCAACCTGGGTTCGATTCCCAGCATCCCATAGGGTTCCCTGAGCACCGCCAGGAGTAATTCCTGAGTGCATGAGCCAGGAGCAACCCCTATGCATCACTGGGTATGACCCAAAAAGCAACAAAACAAAACAAAGTGCACTGTTCTACTCCTGCAGAATCTATTCCTGCAGGCAGAAAGAGCTCTGGGTATGGGGGACACCTCTGGCATTCAGCCTGGCCACGTTCATGACCTCCTCCCACATTTCTTCCTCTTTTCTTTTTTTTCGGGGGGGGGGGGCACACCTGATAGCGCTCAGGACTTATTCCCGGCTCTGTGCTTGGGGATCGCTCCTGGCAGGCTTGGGAGACCTTATGGGATTCCCGGAACTGAATCCAGGTCAGATGCATTCAAAGCAAGTGGCCTATGGGGCTGGAGCAATAGCACAGTGGGTAGGGTATTTGCCTTGCACATGGCCAACCTGGGCTCGATTCCCAGCATCCCATATGGTCCCCTGAGCACCGCCAGGAGTAATTCCTGAGTGCAAAGCCAGGAGTAACCCCTGAGCATCACTAGGTGTGACCCAAAATGCCAAAAACAAAAACAAAAAGCAAGTGCCCTACTCCCCCCCCCCCACCCCCCACTATCTCTTTAGCCTCATGACCTCTGTCATTTCTTTGTAATTTCCTTCTGATTTTTGGGTCACACTTAGCGATGTCAAGTCTCAGTCAAGGTCACCATGCAGTCTAAGGGCAACTCTGGGCTGGCACTGCGCAGTCAGGTTGATTTCAGAGAAGAACAGGGAGGCAGATTAGTCTTTAAAGAGGCAGAGACATGAGGAGCAGCTGCGAGATGACTTTTCGGAGGAAAAGAGAAGCCACAAGCTGGAGGAAAGGACCAGGGGGATTTTGTCCACACGGGGAGGGGATGCAGGGGTGGTATTTGCACAGGGCGAGCACTGTAGTGGGGCTTTACCACTTTTCAGAGGGTTTTCTTTCTGCATTGACTTCCCCAGGGAAGGCTGGGGACTGGGGATGGAGAGCTGTGAATGAAGGGAGAGAAGGAGGAAGGATGGTTGGGGGCGGGTGGGTGTGTGGCTGGATGGGTGGATGGGTAGATGGATGGATGAATGATGGTTAGTGATGGGTGGATGGATAGATGGATAGATGGGCAGATGGATGGACAGGTGCGTGGATGGGTGAGTGGGTGGGCGGATATGGATGGATGGATGGATGGATTGGTTGATGGATGGATGGATGGATGGGTGGATGGATGGGTGGATGGATGGATGGGTGGATGGATAGATGGTTGGTGAATGAATGATGGATGGGTGATGAATGGTTAAATGGATGGGTGAGGGGATGAGTGATGTGGTAGATTGGTAGACAGAAGGGAAGGTGGGTATGTGGAAATAGAGGGAGATGGATAGATAAGTAGAATCACAGACGAGTTAGTGGGTAGAGAGATAAAAGGTAGAGGAAAGAATAGGTGAGTGGGTGTATGACGGATGGGTGGATGGGTGGGTGGATGGACGAATGGGTGGGTGGATAGATGGGTAGATGGATGGATGGATGGATAAATGGGTGGATGGACTAATGGGTGGACGAACAGATGGGTGGATGTATGGATGGGTGGATGGGTAGATGGATGGATGGTTGGATGGACAGATGGGTGGGTGGATGGATGGGTGGATGGATAGATAGGTGGATGGGTGGGTGAATGGATAGATGGGTGATGGATGGTTAAATGGGCGGGTGAGGGGATGTGTGGTGGGTAGGTGGAAATAGAGGGATATGGATGGGTAAGTAGAAGGACAGAAGGGTTAGTGGGTAGAGGGATAAAAGGTAGGTGATGAAAGGATAGGTGAATGGATGAATGGATGGATGGATGGATGGATGGGGGATGAATGAATAGATGGATAGGTGGGTGGGTGGGTAGATGGGTAGGTGGATGGATGGATAGGTGGCTGAGTAGACAGAAGGAGAGGGGGGTCAGCAGAAGGAGAGGTGAGTGGACGGAGGAGGGGGGGACTGATGGGAGAGGGGTGTGGACAGAGAAGTGGGTGGAGGGAAGTATAGGGGATGATGGAAGGAGGAGCGGATGAGTGGATGGCCATACGCTGGTTGGGTAGGTGAACCATCAGTTGAATGGGTAACCTCAATATGGACACAGGGAAACCAGGATCCCTCACGGGACAGAGTTGAGTCTGTGGACACTGATGCTTCAGACCTGGGCCCCAGAGTGAAGCTCCTACCCGGTGAGACAGATCAGGTGCCCCAAATAAGCCTATCCATGAGCCTGGGGGCCTAGAACTGGGGGTGCACTGGAGGAGGGTGAGAACCCCAAAACCACAAGTGTGACCAAGTGCCCTCTCCTTCCCAGGGGCACCCCAAATCCAAGACAGACCACGGCCAGGGCAGAGCCAGGAGGCTGGGGACCCCCTGCAGCGAGCAACTCAGCACAGAGCCCGCCCACCCTGCCCTGTGCCCGAGGAGCCAGTGGGGCAGACGCACATCCTCCCATCCCCTGTCCTTCCATCTCCTGTCTTTCTGGCCCTTTCACCCAGAGTTGCCACCTCCAGGGACAAGATTCCCAAGGAAGGTGAAACAAATGGGGAACGAGGTTTTTGCCTGTTCTTCTCCGCATGGGAAACATCAGTCCCAGCCTGACACCACCTCCGGCTCACTCGGGCGCTGGGGTGCTAACTGGTCTGCATGGGAAACAACGCCCCCCCAGTGTGTGGGCTAGAGCCTGAGGCGCTCACTTCACCTGGACTCACCAGCAGTGCTCAGTGATCCCGGTGCAGGGCCGAAGTCCAGCCCAGTGAGGCCAAACTCCCTTCAACACCTTTTTGTTTGGGGGGGGTCACACCCAGAAATGCTCAGGGGTTACTTCTGGCTCTGTATTCATGAATTACTCCTGGGAGTGCTTGGGGGACCCTATGGGATGCCAGGGATTGAACCCAGGTCGGCTGCATGCAATGTGCAAGGCAAACACCCTCCCCACTGTACTATCACTCTGGCTCCCCACCTTATTTTTATATCATTATTATTATTGATTTGCACCTAGAGCTGCTCAAGGCTTTCTCCTGGATCTGTGCTCGTGGATCACTCCTGGTGGTGCTCAGGGAACCAGATGGGATGCAGGGATCGAACCTGGGTTGACCGTGTGCAAGGCAAATGCCCTTCCCACTGTACTATCGCTCGGACTCCCAATGCCCTCTTTAGAGCCCGGGAAAGGGGGTGAGAGGGGGTATCAGGACACCTAGTTTGCAGGTGCAAAGATCCCAGGTTGATCCCCACCAGCAGGGTTAGCCCTGGCGCTCCCTGAACACTAGAGCTGGGATGCTCTAGTGGGCCCGACTCCAGGAGGATGGGGCAGCATTGTGGGTACCCACTGGCCTCTCGGGCAGAATATCCACAGCAGTGAGTGGCAGGTACCCTGGTTCTCTGAGCACTTCTTGGATGTCCCTCCCAGTCGAAACTCTTTTTGCTATTTTAGGGCCAGACTTGGCAGTGCTCGGGGATCACTCCCAGCAGCCTTCGGGGACAAAACCTGCATGTGACATACCCTACCCGCTGTACTGTCACTCTGGCCCCCAAAGCTCACGTCCAGTGGTGGGGAAGGGATGGGGGGCTATGCTCTGTAGGAAAGTGACTTGCTGGCTTCCCTCGAATCATGCCAGAGGAAGTCGCTGCCCATGTGTGTGTAGGGGGCTCGCTCAGGAGAAGCCCTATCTCTGCCCCCCAAGGAAGCTGGAGGAGGCTCCATGAGTGGGTTGGACCGCCTGGTATGTGGGAGAGCCTGGAAGTCCAGCTGGCCTGTCCTCTTGAGGCTAGACACCGGGACATGGCCACTGCCATTCACCCTTTACTTCTGGGTCCCATGCTGTAAGATGTGCATACACACACACACATGCACACATGCACACGCACATGCACACACAGACCCTGCACTTCCTGCACATATATGCATATGCACACACAAAGACCCTGAACTTCCGGCATGCATGAGTATGCACACACACACACACACATACACACTGCACCCTCAGCCCTGCACTTTGATGCTCATGCACACATGCGTGAGTGCACACACACACACACATATACACACACTATCTTCAGTCCTACACTTCTGGTCTAGCACACACACACAAGCACACATATGCATGCGCACGCACACACACTCTTTATCTTCAGTCCTACACTTCTGGCTAGCACACACACACAAGCACACGCACATGCATGTGCACGCACACACACACACACACACAACCTTCAGCCCTGCATTTCCAGCCCACATGCATGCATGCACGCACACACACACTCTCTCTTTTTCAGCCCTGCATTTCCTGTGTGGCACCGGAAGCAGCCGTTCCCAGGTGTGGCTTTCTCACCTGTGATGAGCTGCGTGAGCACTCGAGTTTGCTCGTTGAGGATGTTCACGGTGACGTTACGGGCCGACTTGAAGTACAGAGCGTTCCCCTGTGAGGAGAACAGAAGAGAGGCATGGGTCGATGGCTCGGCCCAGTGCCAGGCTCCAACTCGGCCGCATCCAGAGTCTTCCTCACCCCACAAACGTGTTCGTCCCTCGCCTGCAGCAGACTCCCCCGAGAGTCACGAGTCATGGGTACTACGTGGATTCCACACAGACACACACACACACCAGGACACATATAGTGGGGATTCCTTACACACACACATAGACATACACATGTGGATTCCTGACACACACAGAATACTCAGAAGGGTAGACACTTACCAGGACACACACTTCACATGGATTCCATACACAGAAACACACCTATGAACACACACACCAGGACACACATGTGGATTCTTCACACACAGACACACACCAGGAAAGAATGTGGATTCCTTACACACAGATATACTCACATGAGCACACACACTAGCACACACCACGTCACATAGATTCCATACACAGGCACACACAACCAGCAAAGATTCAGTGTGGATTCCTTACATACACATGAACATATACACATTCTCCATGTAGATCCCTTAGGCACAGAGATAAACTCATATGTGCATACACACATTGGGACACACACTTTACATGGAGTTCTTACACATAGACACACACAGACATCCATCCATCATACACACCAGCACAGATCGAAATGTGGATTCCTTACACACACGAACACACACACACACACTTCACTTGGATTCCTTACACACACATACCAAGAAATGCTTGTGGATTCCTCACACATAGACACACGCACGAGGCCAGAATTACTGTGGATTCCTTACACACACGTGCACACAGACACACATCCGAGGATGACACTCCTGTGTCTCTCCTGGCCTACACACAACCGCGGGGTTGATCCATGATCTCACCACACTCAAGTCCTCATTCTGCAACTTGGGGTTCCGGCCTAGACGGGTCCCAGCGCTGAAGATGGGGTGGGCTTGGGAAACATCTCTAAAGTCTGGTTAATAATCAATGTCTTTAAGGACTTAAGAAAATGAAGTGTAGACCTTTTTTTTTTAAATTTACATTTCTGGTGGTGTGAGCATCTATCTCTAGGAGGGAAAAATGGGTTGGGTTCAACAGCTGAAGTCTAAGAGCTGCCCGGGCCTCCAGGAGAGCAAAGCGCCCAGACCCGGCCCCTGGGGACACCCCCAGCCTGGGAAGAGCACCCTTGGAGACAGACCCCTCCCTGCCATCTCACCCTGCACCTGAAACCAAGGGGGGCTGCCACGCCCTGTAGGTCCCTTGTGCTCTCTCCAGTCCTCAGTTCCAGTTTCTCCTCCTGACACGTCCCCTTCACCCCCAGGGCAGCAGTCAGCACTGGGAAGGCCCCTCCCCCTCCCCCAATACCGTGGGACACAGGGTGGCAGAGGTTAGGGGGTGCAGATGTGGTATGTGGGTACCAAACCCAGCCACTGAGAGTCCAGAAAAAATTTATGCACCCACAACTCCTTATTGTTTAAGCTTCAACATGTGCTATAATCTTTTTTTTTTTTTTGGCTTGGGGGCCACACCTGGTGGCTGTGCTCAGGGCTCACTCCTGGCGCTGAGCTCAGGGATCACTCCTGGCAGTCTTTGGAGGACCATATGGGATGCTGGGGATTGAACTTGGGTTGGCTGCCTGCAAGGCAAAGTGACTTACTGGTTATACTCTCTGTCCGGCCCAGAAACACAATGAAGTCTCACAGAGGCCTGGGCTATTGTTCACACTCACCCCCTTCATTAACAAAGGTATCGAGGGGCTGGAGTGATAGTATAGCAGGTAGAGCGTTTGCTTTGCATGTGGCTGACCCGGGTTCGACGCCCAGCATCCCATAGGGTCCCCTGAGTACTGCCAGGAGTAACCCCTGTGCATCACCAGGTGTGACCCAAAAAGCAATAAATAAATAAATAAATAAATAAATAATAAAAAGGTACCAAGAATTTTAGGTCTCTGACCAGAGAAGGACAGGCAGTGGCCAGATTTGTCACCACCTCCCACCCCCAGCTCTAGCACAGAAGCCCCCACTAGCAGAGCTGACAGAACCTTCCGGGAATCAGGAACTTCTGATGGAAGGCAACGCGGACTGTCACCTTCTTCTCCCTAAAGCTTTGTTGCTCCACCATCTCTCTCTACCGGGCAAAGTAGGTGTGCCACAAGAAACAGGATCCCGGAGAGAGAGATGTGTGAGCTATGGGCCTGTGAACCACCAGGAGCCAGGCGGCCAGCTGTGAACTCGCCCTCCAGTCTTGGGTTTGTGACCAGGGGGGAGTCACCCATGGTGCTTGGTGTGTGGAGACCCAGGTTTGACCCCTGGGACACATGGTTTCCCAAGCACCCCTAGGAGGGCCCCCAACTACAGAGCCAACTGCAGCCCTCGAGCACAGGTGCGACTCCAAGTTTCCCATCTATCCATTCATGCCTCTATCTAGCTGGCATCTACCACCAACCTGTCATTCATCCATTCATCTATCCATCCACCATCCATCCATTCCCCATATCTAGCTGTTATCCATCATGCACCCACCCATCATTCATCCATTCATCTACCCATATACCCATCCATCCACCCACCTATTATCATCCATCCACTCATTAATCCATCTGTCCATCCATCCATCTATATATCCACCCATCTACCCATTCATCCATCCACCACCTATTAGCATCCATCCATCCATCCACATATCCACCCACGATCCATCCATGTACCTATTTACCTGTTATCCATTTCTACAGTCACCAACCCATCCATCCATCATCCATCTATACATCCACCCATTTACCTATCCATCCACCAACCCACCCGCCCATCTACCCATCCATCCATCCATCCATTCATCATCCATCCATCCACCATCTATTATCATCTATTCATTCACCCACCTATCCACCCATGATCCATCCACCCATATATTGATCCATGTACCTATATACCTGTTATCCATTCATCCATCCATCCACCCACCCATCCATCCATCCATCATCTATCCATTCATCCACCCACACATCTATCCATCTATCCATCCACTCACCTACTATCATCCATCTAGCCATTCACCCATTTAACCATTCATCTATCCATCCACCCAGTCTGCCCACCCATCCATCACTCCCGCTCATCTTTCCATCCACCCATCCCATACACCCACGCATCCACCCACATGTGGTGGCGTCCACCCCACCCCATCCTTCCGTTTATTGGTTTGATTTCCTGGAGAATTCTGAGTGATACAGTCAGTAAAAAAGGGTCCAAAGTGGGCAGCTATAACTTCAGAATCATTTCTTAGGAGGGGAAACAGGCGCTCCTGCTGAGCTAACACAAGCCCAGGCTACACCTCAGAGTTGTCCTCCGTCACCCACGGACAGGGCTCCCATAGGAATGGGGGTGGGGAGAGGAGAGAGAAGCTTTGTTCTGGGTATCTGTGAAGACTCCGACGATTTGTGGGTGAACAGCGCATGGTCACAGAGAGATGAAGAATGCACAAACATTCTCCTAACAGTCATGCCACCCCATGGGATGAAATGACAGGAAGGGGCACTGTCTCCTACAGCCTGGGACTTTGGAGAACACAGGAAGATTTTCGGGGTCACAGAGCCCAACAAATGTGACTGAAATGCCGACTAGTCACTACCCTGGTTTGGGCCACAACCGGCGGTGCTCAGGGATCACTCCTGGTGACCTTGGGAGACCCTGGGTGAATGGGGATTGGACCTGGGTCAGCCACGTGCAAAGCAAGTGCCTTACTCACTGTACTGGCTTTCTAGTCTTTTTTATTTTTATTTTTTGGCTTTTCTTCTATCAGTTTCTTACCAACAGAGTTTATTTATTTTATTGAATCACCGTGGGCTGGAGCGAGTGATAGCACAGTGGGTAGGGTGTTTACCTTGCATGTGGCTGACCCGTGTTCGATTTTTCTGTCCCTCTTAGAGAGCCTGGCAAGCTACCAAGAGTATCTTGCCCACAGAGCAAAGCCTGGCAAGTTCCGCATGGTGCATTCAATATGCTAAAAACAGTAACAACAAGTCTCACAATTCGTTGTAAGACGTTACTGGTGCCGGCTTGAGCAAAATCGATGAGCAACGGGAGGACAGTGCTATAGTGCTACTGAATCACCGTGAAATAGTTACAGACTTACCAACTTTCATAATTATGTTTCAGTCATACAGTGATCAAGTACCCATCCCTCCACCAGTGCCCATTCTCCACCACCAATGTTCCCAGTATCCCTCCCACCACCCCCATCCCATCCCCCCATCCCTGTCTCTGTGGCAGGCACATTCCCTCTTACTCTCTCTCTCCTTTTGGGTGTTATGGTTTTCAGTACAGGTACTAAGCAGCCATCATACCAAACAGAGCGGTGAGGACCCCACTTTTGCCAAGGCCAGGAGCGTTTAGGGAAAAGAGCCTGGAAGGCAAAAAAACTGCTCCCTGCCCCAGAGACCTCAAAGACAGCCCCACCTGTGGGGTCCCGCTACTGAGGCTTCAGCTTAGCAGGGTCCCACACTTGAGTGCCCCCATCACGAGCTGGAGCCTCAAGACAGCAGGGAGGGCCTGTGCTCTGGGTGCCACTCCCCGAATCCTATAGGGTCCCCAGAGCACAGAGCCAGGAGTAAGCCATGAGCATCACTGGGTGTGGTCTCCCCACCGAAAATAAATAGAAAAAGGCAACTAAGTAATCTCCACTTCCCCCAGGATTTACATCTCTTCATTCTTTTTCATTTTTGTGGGTTGGGGTTTTTTTTTGTTTGTTTGTTTTGGGGACAAAAATCTGGTGATACTGAGAATACCCCTGGCTCAGGGCTCAGGAGACCCTAGGGGATGCCAGGGACCAAACCCAGATCCGTCTTGTGCAAGGCAAATGCCCTCCCCAGTGTGCTATTGCTCCAGCCCCTTTTTATTAGTATTTCTGACACTATAAAAAATGTCACACCCCACTGACTGGAGGGGTGGGGGAAAGAATATATATATGTATATATGTAAGTATATATTATATTTGT